TCTGGCTTTTCCCGGGCAGAGAGCCTGGCTCGAGGAGGCAGTGAGGGCAGCATGGCCTCCAGGCCCAACAATGGTATGAGCTTCATCAATAGCCCGAGCAATCCTACCTCTCCCTTTAATGGTTTCTTATGCTGCGTTCAGCAGGGGTCACTCCCACAGCGTCTCTGGCCTATTTGCTACATGTTCCCAACCCTAGCATTTTATGTGGACCCCTGGGTTAATGTGACATGATGTCTCCTAACTCCTCCTCTCACCTGTTCTGCCCCCAGCCAACCACCTGTCCCCTCAAGCCCTAAAGTGGCGGGAATACAGGATGAAGAATCCATTATTGGCACCTGGTTTGTCAGGAAGCCTAGATCGAAGGCCACAGGAAGCTCGGCTGGCCCGCAGGAACCCCATCTTTGAGTTCCCCGGTTCTTTGGGCGCTGCCAACCATCTGAATTACCGGCTGAATGGTATGTGGCCACAGTCCCTGGTATACCCTGGGCAAGTGGGGAGGGGTCGGTTAGTCTGAGAGGATGGAGGGCACTCCACTGAGCTAAGAACTCTTGGGAAGAGCTTCAGGGTAAGGCTTTTCTTTTCTTTCCAGGCCAGGTAGCAAAACCTTTACCACTGACCTGCCCTGACCTGCAGGACCCCTTCTCCTTAGCTGAGAAGCCTCCAGCTGAGTTTTGTCTGTCTCCAGATGGCACCTCGGAGGCCATTTCCATTGATGTACTTCAGAAAAAAGGTGAGAATCAACACCCAGCCTGGACCCAGCTCCACTGTCACTGCCTGTGGTGCCTGGTGCCTAGCCAACCCTCCAGAACATCTGTCTTGAAACCCCAGTACCAATAAGCAGAATGAGCGTTAGGGCAAGAGATAGAGGTTTGTGTGGTATGGTGAGCAAGGGTCATGTATCAGGAACTTGAGAATCGGGCTTCAACCCCTTCCCTCAGCCAATGGGAGAGACTGTTACATAGTTTTTTTACAGGAGCCTGGTGTGGGAGGTGGATCTATCTGTGGTGTACAGAGTGAGTTCCAGGACAGCCTGGGCTCCATAATGACACCCTGACTCAAAACAAACAAACAAACAAACACTTTACTGGGCATGGTGGCAGACAACTTTAATCCCATCACTTGGGAGGCAGTGGCAGGTGGATCTCTGTGAATTTCAGGGTAGCCAGGGTAACATAGTAAAACCGTCTCAAAAAATTCAATCAAGCAAAGAAGACCTGAAGTTATAGCCACTTGGGTATGCATGTTGGTGACCTCTGAGAAGACAAGGACTGACAGGAACATGTTATTCAGCAGATTAGTGGCCATGGCCTATGAGCAGTTTTAGGGAGATGCTGGTAAAATAACCACGCATAAGTGTGGGCGAAAGGGCAGGAGCTGGCAAAGGAGAAGTCTGCGCTCCTTGTAGCAAGAGAGATGCAAAGGTGAGAGCCGGGAGAGGCCTTTGTGGAGAGAGCATCCACCCATGAGGGCAAGGACAATGAGATACGGATGGATAGGGACAGGGTGAGTGTGTGACAGCTTCCTCTTCCCCACCAAGGGGTCAGCCTCCATTGGGTGGGCTAGAGTCTTGAAAATGGGACCTGGTGCATCAACTTCTTCCTCATAGGGCTCGTAAAAGCTGTCAATACTGCTGTGGACCTTATTGTGGCCCATTTTGGCACAAGCCGGGATCCTGGCGTCAAGGTAGGCTGTAATGGTGAATGCCCTGCAGACTCGACTGTCTGCGTGCTGTCACCTCCCCTTGCTCTCTTGAATCCAGAGTCCAGAGTTGGAACTCAGGGATGGAAATGGCCAGAGGGGAACCCATGGGCTAGCTAAGTGAGAACAAGGTCAGGCCTCTCATGTTGCCCTGTGCATCTGCAGGCAAAGCTGGGAAACAGTTCTGTGAGCCCCAACGTAGGCCACCTGGTTCTGAAGTACCTCTGCCCTGCAGTCCAAGCTGTGCTGGAGGATGGGCTCAAGGCCTTCGTGCTAGATGTGATCATCGGACAACGTAAAAACATGCCTTGGAGTGTGGTTGAGGCTTCCACGCAGTTAGGTAGGTGCTAGATTGTGACACTGGGACCCAGACTGAATTCAGGGTTCCAGGGATTAGAAATGGGATCTCCAACCCTGTCTCCTCCCCAGGCCCATCCACCAAGGTCTTGCATGGTCTCTACAACAAAGTCAGCCAGTTTCCAGAACTCACCAGTCACACTATGCGCTTTAACGCCTTCATCCTCGGCCTGCTCAAGTAAGTGTGTAGAACGGTAGGACCTAAGCAGCCAGCCCCACCATAGCTCTGTGTCCTCTAAGGACCTGGTTGCCTGGAACGAGACAGATGCACCTGCAGTGTTTGTGCAAGGCCTCGGGACCCCTTTCCCCCGCCTAGCTGCTGCCTCTCGCAGCGTTTACTCTGCACCCACTTCCCAGCTCATCCACTTTCACAAGGCCTGGCCTGTTGAGAAACTAACTGCTCTTGCAAACTGATCCTCTCAACCCCCTCTGCTTCTAAGCCCTGCTTCAGTGTTAGGCTCACCTCAGAACACCTGTTACATATTAGCCTGGCCATTCATTACCTAGGCCAAAAGCAGCCTGTCCTTTCACTCTGTAGTCACCCTGACTTATGTACGCTGCCTCCATTCCAAGAAAAAACGACTGACTTGTGAATTTCATGTTCACCCCACTCCTCACATCCCCACTAACTTTCACAAGGTGAACCAGGCAGCACCCACCCTGAACCCATCTCTTTGCACCTCATTATCTGGCTGTCTCCACGAGAGACTTAACCCTTTCACCTGTCTTTCTACAGCATCCGGTCCCTGGAGTTCTGGTTTAATCACCTGTATAACCATGAAGGTAATACCCACAGCCTGCTCTGGCTTACCAACTCAGTGTAGGAGGTGGGGAGGAGACCCACCCAGACTTTCATTCCCGGAATTTAGGGCTTCTACTTGACTTAGAACCTTGGAGGCAGCAGCAGACTCAGGCAGTCTAGCAGTTAGGGTGGCCATGCACCCCAGCATCTCTCTGACTTCGGAGCTGCCTCTTGGGGCGACGGGATGTACGCAGTGCATACTGTAGCAGGCTTTGTGAGAACTGGAGCAGATAGCCTGTGCGGGTGCATGCAATGGCTGACACAGGTGGCCCCCCAGCGTCGCTCTCAGGCCATATTCCACTTCTGTGTGTGAATCTGTCCCTCTCTATTTCTCTAGATATCATCCAGACCCACTACCAGCCCTGGGGCTTCCTGCGTGCCGCTCACACAGTGTGCCCTGGCCTCTTTGAGGAGCTGCTGTTGCTGCTGCAGCCATTAGCCCTGCTGCCCTTCAACCTTGACTTGCTGTTTCAGCACCGGCTGCTGCAGAGTGGGCAGCAGCAGAGGCAGCACAAGGAACTGCTGCGTGTGTCCCAGGACCTGCTGCTGTCTGCACACTCAACATTGCAGTTGGCCAGAGCCCGAGGCCAGGAGGGCCCTGGAGACGCGGACAGGGTGGCCACTGGGGAGCGGGTGAAGGGTGTGGGTGCCTCAGAAGGTGGAGAAGAGGATGAGGAAGACAGGGAAGAGGCGGATGAGGTTGTGGGGAGCTCAGAGCATAGCAGGTGGACCCGAGGAGGCCAGGCTGGCTGGTGGTACCAGCTCATGCAGAGCTCCCAGGTCTACATCGATGGCACTGCTGAGGGCTCCAGATTCCCTCGCAGTAGCAGCAGTGGCAGTGAGAAAAAGAAAGGGGTAGGCAGTGGGGGGCCTTCCCAGGCTCCACCACCAAGGGAAGGTGTAGTAGAGGGGGCTGAGGCCTGCCCTGCTCCTGAGGAGGCCCTTAGCCAAGAAAGGGGCTGGCCTTTCTGGATGGGGAGCCCCCCTGACTCTGTGCTAGCTGAGCTGAGGCGTAGTCGAGAGAGGGAAGGACCTGTTGCCCCACCAACGGAAAATGAAGAAAGGACGGCAGAGCCCGCACCAGGGGGCATCAAGTGGGGACACCTCTTTGGTTCCCGAAAAGCTCAGCGGGAAGCCCGGCCCACAAACAGGTGAGAGCCATCCACTACTGGTATAGACAGTGATGCGGCAAGCCTGGTCCAGATCTGGACACAGGCAGAACCCAGAACCCTGTCTCCTCTCCCCTAGGCTGCCTTCAGATTGGCTGAGCCTGGACAAGTCTGTGTTCCAGCTAGTAGCACAGACGATGGGGGCCCGTCGGGAGCCCGAGCCCAGGGAGAACCTACAAGAGTCACACTCTCCAGCCCTGTCCTCCAAACCTCCATGGTACGCCCAAGGGAATGAAGTATTGGGGAGCTTGACTGGCGTTTCAGAAGCCTTCTCTGATGTGCATCTGTTGTTTCTCCAGCGAGGTGCAGGCTCTATGCCACCATCTGGCCACAGGCCCTGGACAACTCAGCTTCCACAAAGGAGATATCCTGCGGGTGCTGGGACCAGCCGGAGGAGACTGGCTGCGCTGTAGCCGCGGCCCTGACACTGGCTTGGTACCTCTGGCCTATGTGACACTGACCCCAACTCCAAGTTCACCACCTGGAAGCAGCCAAAACTGAGGCCTTGTGCATGCTGGTGGCCTCAGGGACCCTCATATACCCCGAGACTCAGAGCCTAAGAGTCCTTCCCAAGCCCTTAGGCTTGGCTACAAAAAGTAGACTGAGAGCTGGGGCCATGTATCCCTGTGCTGGCACCTGCTCCCCGTGCTCAGTATTCAGTACTCCTCCTCAACTGTCCCAGCAATTTCATCCAGACCTCCACCCAGGAAAGGAGGGAAGGGACACAGTGCTGGGCTGCCAAGATTTCTCCTGGCCCATCTGGACCAATACTTCCATGGGTGTAGACAAGTCTCTGGAGGGAGGTGGCCCAGAGGTCATTTGTGGGTTTACTAGGCTGAGTGACAATGAGGATGGATAACAGTATTGGGGCCAGAGTCCTAAGCCCCCCATGCTGTAAATAGGCAGTGACCAGTGCCTGGTCATCAGAGTAGGAGGAGGAGCCCAGGCTTCTGTTTATGTATTTATTTATTTATTTATTTATTACACCTATTAACTTAAAGGTGCTCAGCCTCCAAACCATTTTCTTTGTGCCCCTCCCCCCTCCCACTTCTCTTCCTTCCAAAAAGATCACTGGGATAGGATGAAAAGGTTGAGAACCTGAAATCCAGGTATTTATGCCAGGAGCTGTTTCTGAGTCGTGCTGAGGCCCAGAGCATCATGGGTGAGATGCCCAAATGTACCGCCAAACTGGAACTTATACCCTGTGTGGCCAAGAGAGTCTGTCATGTGTAGCCAGAGGCATGAAAAATCCATTTAATGGCCAGTTGCATACCCTCCAAACCACCCTCTGAAATCTGCTCCCAACTCCCTCTGAGCTGCCTTGGTTTCCTATCTAAAGCTGGATCATCTGTTTATCCCAGTTCCCGGAACTGTCCCACCTGCACACATTCCAGTTCAAAGCCCCTGACTCATTTCACCTGGCACGTAGCCTCCATAGTGAGGGAGGAGACCCAAGTTCTCAAGGTTGGGCTTGGGGAGTGGGGAAAGCGGTTTGGGATCCTTCTGCACCCTGCTCCGTGAGCATGTCTGCCCAAATTCCTGCAGTGCCTGGTTGGTGAGCACGGGGAAGCTGGAGCCAAAGAGGAAGCGGGCACGGGGCACATAGCCGGTGAAGCCTGGGGTGGGGGAAGATGCTGAGTCAGGACACATCCTGAGTGTCTCTCCATGCCTTTGGTCATCACCCATATGCTCTTACCTGACATGAAAAACTTCTGGGGATCTCTGTCATCCATGGAGTAGGGGGAAACCTTGTGAGACATTAATGAAAGAAAAATAGCACTGTGAGTTCAGGCTCACAGGAAACAGAGTGGCAGCCAAGCCCCATGACCTGTATCCACAGCCACAGTCCCCACGGTGCCCCCAGGCCTGAGCACAAGCTCCCACCCCCACCACGATCTTTCCCCATCTCATTTGGGCCACCACCTGCTTCAGCTCTGGCTCCTCTGCTTCCGGCTCTTGGTCTTTCTCTCTCTCTTTTCCTCCCTTGACCTCCTTTGATAGTTCATGACACTCCTGCTGCCCATGCCTTTGTGTAAAATCATTCATAGCTTCAGCCCAAACCTGGTTGCAGTTCTTGGCAAAAATGAACTGTGCCTGTGGTATAAAACCTAGCAGAGAGAAAGACATCTATGTGTTCAGGACGCACTCTCTGGGAAGGGGATACCCGTTCAGGCCTCCACACAGACCTGTATACCCAGGGATTATGCTGGAGCTGAGCCTTTCATGCCCGCGCCTGGGAGGTAGCCTCCCCCTGGGAGTCACAGGAGATCTTGGAGACTGGATGGGAGGCAGAAGTGTGCGGTGGGCAGGAGGCCAGGCTAGGCCAGGAGAGCCTTGAAGAAGCTGACCGGTCACCTGCCCATAGGTCTGGCCCATGCTGAACCGCAGTAGTGGGCAATGTCCAGTGTACCTGAAGCACAGGACCCGCCCCTTAGCTCCGAGACCAACTCCCACTACCACCACCCTCCTGACACAGAAGCAGCAAAACCCTGCTCTTGGTATGTACTTGAGCAAGTGTTTATTTCCCTTTGTGTGTTTCTGTTTAGACAGGGTCTCTGTAGCCTAGGCTGACCAAACTTTTGATCCTTTCTGCACCGCACCCCATCCATGCTGGGATCAGGCACCCCTCACCCCCAGCTTTAGTCTGTAGGTCTGTTGTTCATTTCTTTGTTTTACCTATCAGAGAGTGAGCCTGGAGCCTTGTGCATGCTAAGTAAGCATTAAACCCGAGAATCTATGTCTTCCCCAGCCCCCAGCAAGCTTTCCTAACCCAAACTCTGCCTGGTTTCCAATTCCTCTGTCCTGCTTTTACCGTTTCCACGGAGAAGACAACACAAAGCTTTGTTAGACCCGTCTATTCCATCCTCTCATTTCCCCTTTCCAAACAACACCTCAGGTAACCCTGTTCTCAAACCAACATGTCAGCTTGACCCAGCTTGACCCGAGCCAACTCCTATATCCCCAAACCCCTGTTCCCCAAAGCAGGAGAGTGAGCGCTGTGGGAAGAAGTCTTACCCTGGAATATAATGAGGATTCTGAGAGTTGAGCCCTGGAATGCAGGTGTTGACCACAGCCATGGGAACCCAAACAGTTCCTTTTATTTCCCTTCCAGTAGGGACTCTGGGCCCTATGTACTGTGTCCAGGGCTTTGGAGCCAGAGGAAGGGGGCGGGGTTGAGGGTGGAGATAGCTAGAGCAAAGCCAACAGAGCTGGAGCAGACTTCTTGATGTGCCCTGGGACTAATGCCAGGGGGGCCGGCAGAGACTGGAGGATACAGCTGCCTCACTCCATCCCAAGAAAGCCACTAGGTGAGAGGTAAGGGGCTGAGACCTGTAGGCTCTGTGTCCGAAGACTTCCTGGCTGAAGAGAGGTGGCTGTGGTGTCCTGTGGTGCTTGTGGAAAGAGCTGGGATTCTGCAGAAAGGAGCTTCAAGGAGAACTTAGTCATCCAAAGAGGAGAGCATGAGGGTGAGAGGATGGGGAAGTCCTAGAGCCTCTCGGCAGGATCATTAAAATGATTTGCACTGATAAAGGATTATTTAGTGGATAGCTGCTATAATCTGAATCATCTATTCATCAATATGCCAGCCTCGGCTCAGCACGGAAGGATGGCAGAACACATTAACGGAAGTCCCACAGGCCCTTGGGAAGACTAAGCCACTGTCCTCATTCACAACTGCAGATGGCACTGTTAACACTGTCTGCTCTGACGCCCAAATTCATGAATACAGATGTTTATTTTTCTAGTGCAAGACTGGAAATCCCAGGCTGTGTGCATGTTAAACAAGTTCTCTACTGCTCACATGTATGCCCCAGGATACAGATCTCTCTTAATTCAGCAGAGAGCGAAGCCAGAACTGTAGATTAGGGACGAGAACTGGCTCATGAGGCCATGCAGGCTTGACTCTTACTTGAAGGCCTCAACCTCTTGAAGCAGGCACCTTAACTTCCTTTGGTCCCAAATTCTCCAGACTACAGTGTGAAGGTTAAAATACCTGAGCTTACTGAGGCTCTGAGGGTCAGTGACCTCCAGGTGAGTGAACTTTGTGGCTACTTGGCTCATGCCTTTAATCTTAGCATCAAAGAGCCAGAGGCAGGCAGATCTTTGTGAGTTTGAGACCAGCCTGGTCTACAAAGGGAATTCCAAGACAGCCAGAGCTGTTATATAGAGAAACCCTGTCTTGGAGGGAAAAAAAAAAGAAAAGAAAATGAAAGAAAAAAAGGCTGACTTTCATCAGATAAGAGTGTCTCAGCAGCCGGGCTTGGTGGCGCACGCCTTTAATCCCAGCACTCGGGAGGCAGAGGCAGGTGGATCTCTGTGAGTTCGAGACCAGCCTGGTCTACAAGAGCTAGTTCCAGGACAGCCTCCAAAGCCACAGAGAAACCCTTTCTTGAACCCCCCCCCCAAAAAAGTGCCTCAGCTTCAGACACAAGGAAGGTCAGTGAATGGTAACCCAGGGATGTGGGGGAGGGGTGTTCCTACTCGGCGGTGGGGAAGAAGACTAAAGACGGGTGTGAGGATAAAGGGTAAACCAGCAGGAAGTCAGTTTTAGTCAGTTTTGCTCTTAAAACATGGTCTAGATTCTAAGCTCCTGGCCCTCTAGGGAAGATAGAAAGAATCTGTTGCAGCCGGGAGGGGTTCTAGAAGAAAGTCTTGGCTTCTCAGAAAGAGACTGCGCAAGTGTGTGTGCGCGCACACACACACACACACACACACACAGAGGCAGACACACACTGGAGGGGATAAGGTTGCTTTCTGCCTCTAAAAGCTTCAGTGGGCATCTTGAACCCTTGAGAAAGCTTACTGGGGACAAAGTGTCAGTGCACTGGGAACGGACAGACAAAGCCGAGCACAGAGGCCAAGGTCTTTGACAATAACATTGAGCAGCTTAACTGACCAGCCTTTCTAGTTAGTGAGTCATCACTAAGGCCACTTGACTGGTAGGTCAATGTTGGGCAAGCATACATCTCTATAAGGATGAGTAAAAGTATAGACACCAGGGCATAATTGTAGGAATGAAGAGACAGAAACAAGAGAATTGGAGTTTAAGATTATCCTTAATATCCTTAACTATGCAGCAAGTTCAAGGTCAGCCTAGGTGGGCTATTAAAAAAAAATACTATAGATAAAATAAAACTGTCTTTGGCTGGAGAGATGGCTCAGCGGTTAAGAGCACTGACTGCTCTTCCAGAAGTCCTGAGTTCAATTCCTGGCAACCACATGGTGGCTCACAACCACCTTGAATGAGATCTGGTGCCCTCTGCTGTCGTGCAGGCTGAAGACTGTATTCATAATAAATAAAATCTTTAAAAAAAAATAAAACTGTCTTTAAAAGAAAAGATAAAATGATAGTTTAGATTTCAGATGCTTACCTCAGATGACATGAGACAAAATAGATGTATTGCTGTCAAAATTTCAGTTTTTCTTTAGAATAGTGTTTTCATAATTGCTTACTATAATACATTGTAATAAAACATGGGCCAATGATGAGAGTGAGTCATACTCCAAAAGTGATAATGATGTGATTCTGTTTGTGGTCCAAAGTGGAAGAAACTATCAGAATCAGCCAGGATCGGTGGTCCAGCTACTCGGGAGGCTAAGCCAAAAGAATCAGGCCAGCCTGGGCTACACAGTGAGACCCTGCCTCAAAATGAAAAATGTAAAAAGTGGTCTAGAGATGAAGTCCAGGAGTAGTGTGCTTCTTAGCATGTATGAGACCCCAGCTTCACCCCCAATACCCAAAAACGAAAAAAAAAAAAAAAAAAAGCAGAAACGTTGTACTACATGTACCAGGTTGAAGAGCGTTCCATCCTGTATTGCTGTTAAATAATAAAATACCATTAAATGAAGGGAAAAATAAAAACAGAAACATTGGTATCTGAACATATCAAAGGAAAGAAAATGGTACCATCACTGCCTGTTTTACATTTATAACATTCTTCAAATCCATAATAATATTCATTGGTTATTTATTTGACAGTTACAATGAAATATATATTCAAATACCCATGGCTTATTTATCCAGCATTAAAGTTAGAGGACACATTGAAGGACTTCCATATCCAGAATTATGGCTAGAAACAAAAATATAGTCACCCACAGAAACTTCAGGTAAATATCAGTTCAGATATTTATCAGGGTTTCTCTGTGTAATAGTCCTGGCTGCCCTGGAACTAGCTCTGTAGACCAAGCTGGCCTTGCACTCAGAGATCCACCTCCCCTGCCTCCCAATTGCTGGAATTAAAGGTATAAGGTACCTCTACCCAGCAAGTCCCTGAATTTCAATGGCCAAAATCTTTTCTTTTACTTAAAAAATTAAACAGGCATGTCTCTGTCCTGAGAAGCCATCCATTAGCATTGTCTTAGGGTTACTATTTCTGTGATGAAACACCATGACCAAAGTAATATGGGGAGGAAGGGGGTTGTTTAGCTTATACGTCCTGAACCACATACCACTAAGGGAAGCCAAGGCAGGAGCTCAAACAGGGCAGGAACATGGAGACAAGAGCTGCTGCAGAAGCCATGGAGGGGTTCTGCTTACTGGCTTGCTCCACATGGCTTGCTCAGCCTGTTTCCTTATACAACCCAGGACCACCAGCCTAGAGATGGGCTGGGCTCTTCCCATCAATTACTAATTAAGAAAATGTCCTATAGGCTTGCCCATGGTCCCTCTCGGATGACTATAGCTTGTGTCAAGTTGACATGAAACTTAGCAAGCATGTACATCCATGGACATATTTAGCATACAAGATACATCAGAGTTATTTGACTACTTACAAGGTTTTGTTTTTACCCTTCAGCAGTTTGACTATGATGGGAATTCCTAGAACACCCCACTAAGAAGTTAGTAAATAGCACAGTACTGCACTTATGTAAGTGCAATGTTTGGTTTAACATTAGAAAATTACCTCATATATCATTGTTTAGAACATGCTGTCCCTACTTTGAACTTAACTTGCATCACTGGAGTTTGGGCAGGCATGATGTGAGCCAAAGACACCAAAAGCAACTGTGCACAGACTTTTCTTGCCCCAAATATCTGGCAGAAACAACATAATGGAGGAAGAATTTCTTTTGCTCATGATTTCACAGATCTCAGCCCATCATGGCAGGGAGTGTATGGCGGAGCAGCCCATATCAGGTAGATAGCTCAGCCAGAGCAGAATGGCTAAGAGGAAGGGGTCAGAACAAGGAGTTGGCCAGTGCTTCCGTCCAGGCCACACTTTGCACAGTTCTTCCACCTCCCAGTGGTGAATGCAACTTTTGAAGCACTGTTTGGAGAAGCTTCCTCAGGTTCTAACCTCTGGAAACACACTCACTGACACATCTAGCTGTATACTTTGGTGAGCTTCTAGGTGTCTTTAAATGCAATCAAGTTGGCAACAAAGAAAGCTCCCACAGACACACTTGTGTTCCTGTTCTTCCCTCCCATTACCGTGAGATTATGCCCAAGCAAGTCTAGAAGGGAAACGGGAGGGAGGTGGCAAGAGAGAATCACCTCTAATAAATCCCACCTTAGAAAGCCGACCTCAGTCAACCCACAGACTTGACTCCATGTGGGTGCTGGGAATTGAACCCAGGTCCTTTGCTTTTTTGTTTTTGTTTGTTTGTTTGTTTGTTTGTTGTTTGCTTTTGGTTTTTTGAGACAGGGTTTCTCTGTATTGTTTTGGAACTCACTCTGTAGACCAGGCTGGCCTTGAACTCACAGAGATCTGCCTGCCTGCGCCTCCCGGGTGCTGGGATTAAAGGCATGCACCACCAACTCCCGGCATACCCAGGTCCTTTGCAAGAGCAAGTCAGGAACAAGGTAAAACTGTTCACTACTACCACCATTCCACACTTTATATTGGAGATCTTAGGCAAGAATTTGGAAATCAAACTTGTAAATATTAGAAGGAAAGAAGATTATAGAAAATGTTTTAACTTGATTTTGAGTGCAGGTTTTGCACACACTGGTAAAATAATCAGACTTAATATTTTAAAAAGAATATTCTGGGGGCAGCAGGTGTAGCTTTGGTAAGTACTTGCCGGCCTTGGCTTGACTTCCTAGAAACGAAAAGAAACACACAAAACAAAACCCTCTTTGTAGATCAATGATTCTCAACCTGTGGGTCACAACCCCTTTGGGGGTCAAGTGACCCTTTCACAGGGGTCACCTAAGATCGTTGGAAAACACAGATACTTACATTGCAATTCATAACAGTAGCAAAAATTACAGTTATAAAGTAGCAATGAAAATAATGTTATGGTTGGGATCACTACAACATGAGGAACTGTATTGAAGGGTCACAGGGTTAGGAAGGTTATAAACCACTGTTGTTGAGAATGAATTACAAAAGGGAAAAGGCATTAATTAGCATGGAGACCTAAAAAGGAGGCTGATCTGAGAGCCCAGACAAGAGACGTGACACTGAGTCAGAGGTAGCAGGACTTGTGCGGCAGACACATTCCAGAGGTGCCTCGTGCAGTGTCTGCTGGTGTGCTGGATACAAGACAGAAGGGCCAGAGATAACTTGGCTTTCTCACTGAGCATTTAGTGAGAATTATTGAGATAGGGACCCTGTGCACAAACATTAAAGAACAAAAGGAGAACCTAAGCAGAATCACAAAAGGAGAGAGAGCCTAAGCGGAATCACAAGGCATTGCCAACACCTGCCACAGTATGTCCTCAATCTAAAGGGTCAGTGCACTTTTCTGCCCCGTCTTTTCTCAGTCACAACCATCCCCAATGAAAACCTCTTGGACCAAAAACGCTCCTCTCAATTGAATAGTGGACTGGTGACAGACAGAATTCCTATAACATTTCCTCCTTTTTGTCTAATTAAGAAGGAAAGGTCCCAACTCTAACATAGTAAAACTACATACAATAAGAATTATTATCAAGTATGGTCCAAATAGAAAGGAAAGGTAATAGCCTTAACAGAACAACACTACATACAACAAGAACAATTATCAAGTAAGAAATACATTCTCAATGTCCAGTCCATAAGTAACTGGCAAGTTTATAGAGATTAGCTGTCCTCTCCTGAAGAGTCCA